ACGTTGTCGTCGTTGTCGCTGGGTGTGTTCAGTGAAAGTGAATTGACAAGAATATTTTAGAATATAATTTTAACGGGCACGGAGAGAATTTTATGAGGTCGCACGGGCGGAGGAGAAACGATGATCTCGTCGAGGGACCTTGAGAGACACCATGTCTTCGAATAATGTTCGTTTTTTTTTTCTTGCTTCCTTCGTACGCCGTTATAAATTTTCTTTCACTTCCTCGGCATTATATAGGCACATTATTATACAAATGGAATATATAAACTTGTAAACGAAGAAAGACAATGCGGTTATAATATATACGTATGGATTTAATAACTTTTTATGCACATGTAGGTACGCCGTACACGGGAATTTCAATGCGCTCCTTTGTGGAACCTCAAACGGTCAAAGTTAATCGTCCATTGCGACCTTCTCAGACTTAGTTATTGTAAGATGCAAGATATTCAACTTCCTTACAAAAGTTGACTTTACAGCAGCCTGATAAAGGGAGATGTCTTTAATATAGAGAAATTAAAATTAAAACTATTTAAACGTCTCAAATGTTTTATTAAAATCTTATAATTATTTCGGCTTGCTGCACCATTAAGAGTAATATGAATTCATATTAATTTTTCGTAAAACTGTTGCCTTTATATGAATTGGTTTAAAATATTCGAATGAATTGGCCCATATTATCAAAACTGTTTTATAAGTTTCCGAAAAAATCAACAGAAATTAAAATTTTTATGTAAGACTTTCACCAAAGACAATTATTAGAGTGAAATGAAAATATTGTTTAATTAAATTAAAAAGGACATCTAGTGCCAGACGTCCCTTTTACACACCCGTTACTCTGCCACTGATGCGGGATGCTATTATAGTTTTAGGGAAATACGAACTCAGGATATGAAGGAATAAAGCTGCGTGTTCAACCAGTATAATTATATACTTACTTTACACACAATATTGTTTTGTTGAAAGATTTACTGCGTTATTTTCAGACTATAGATTCCAAATTAATTTTCCTGTAGTCTATCAATAGATAACTGTTTTCTATATTTTTTTTTAAAAATTTTAGGTTCAGTAGTTTATGAGATAAAGGGGAGGGCGGATGATCAATTTTTATCTATTTTAAAACTTTTAGTTTAAAATCATAAAAAAATATATTTGGGACCCTTACAACAAACCCTTTTATATGATATGTTACCCGGTACAGTTTGCGAAACTTTTTTATTTAATTTCCTATTGGCCCTCCAAAAATGATCCCCATGTTCAAAATTAATTTATTTACGTTATGCTTCTGTGTTTGGTTCACAGAAACAAGTTTGGAGCAAATTGATTGTGACACAGGACAGACAGACACACAAATAATCTTACATAATAAGGGTTCAGTTCTTTATTCGGACGTACAAAACCCTAAAAACACCGCAAGCTTATCTTGACGATTTTAAATTGATGAGAACAGATTAAATTTAACATTTGCATCTAACAACAAATAGCAGCTGTAAATAATGATTATGATTTAGTCGAGACAGTTTTTTAAAACGTATTTGAAAATATAATATATAAGCATAACCAAATTTAACAACCTACTACTACATCTTGTGTTTAGTACACTCAACTATGTGAGGTTTCTGTCTTAACCTACCGTTGAAGTCTCCATGCATATGTGGCCTGAAAGAGATTCTTCTTTGAAGAAACCTNTACTTTATAGTTTCACAGTGCATTCATTTCGGCTTATTTCTAAATCATAAACATTAAAAAAAGACTGCAAAGCAAGTCAATTAAAAATGTTTAAACAAAGTACCTGCGTAATTTTAGTTTATCTAAATTTATTATGTTGGATATGTATGGGTATGTAAAGTCCGTGTAACATCGTCGAATTGAAATTAATTACAATAATTTTATTAGTTACTCTTCTTTTTGTTGCATATTCGCAAATGAATCGTATATGGGTCCGAATGCTAAGCTGTCAAGAAAAATCATGAACAAAAGATGCACACAAACGAGATGAAAATGTTACAGTGGGGAACAGGAGTGACGACGCTTGATGGAGTATGCAATGGGCACATTAGAAGGCTTCCTTAAAATTGGTCCTATTGTGGAAAAAATGGCGGAGCTTTGGTCATTTCAGATACGAAGAGGTGCGCCAACTACGTGGTGGTCAATCGTTATCAGAGATTTGGAAAGGACACAGCTGGAGACACAACAACCGAGAACAGAATGTCCTGGCGTCTAAGAATAAGGATTTCTGACTCCAAGTGATGGGAGAAAGCAAGGAAGAAGAAGAGTAAATTGTTACATTGCTATTCACAAACACACCAGGCTGGGCACTGCGGGAGTAGTACTGCGGGAACGATACAGCGACAGTGCAGCTTCGAATGCGTGCATGCGATCAATAGTTAATCACTAAGCCGTTGGAGCTGTTAAGGGCGCAGCTCCATATGAACATTTTTGTATCTTTTTCATAAACTAGAGGACAATAAGGGGCGCTGTAGTACGGTGGTCAACCGTTATCAGAGATTTGGAAAGGACATAGCTGAAGACACAGACAACCCAGAACAGAATGTCCTGGCGTCTAAGAACGAGGATTTCTGACTCCAAGTGATTGGAGAAGGCAAGGAAGAAGTAGTAAGCCGTTGGAACTGTGAAGGGCGCAGCTCCATATGAACTTTTTCATAAACTAGAGGACAATAAGGGGCGCTGTAGTGCCTATTGGAAAAGTAAAATGCGTCATTACTAAAGTAATAACTTCTATAAATATAGATCTGCTTGAATACCGGAATAAGATGAAGGTAAATGCGTCAGCGACTATGTGTATTAAACACACACGTATTTATGTAAACGCATTCCGCACTCGTTACCAATCGCGGAACGTTAAAAGCCTTACAGCTCCGTTCAGCTCGAGGAATTACACAAACGTTGTCGTCGTTGTCGCTGGGTGTGTTCAGTGAAAGTGAATTGACAAGAATATTTTAGAATATAATTTTAACGGGCACGGAGAGAATTTTATGAGGTCGCACGGGCGGAGGAGAAACGATGATCTCGTCGAGGGACCTTGAGAGACACCATGTCTTCGAATAATGTTCGTTTTTTTTTTCTTGCTTCCTTCGTACGCCGTTATAAATTTTCTTTCACTTCCTCGGCATTATATAGGCACATTATTATACAAATGGAATATATAAACTTGTAAACGAAGAAAGACAATGCGGTTATAATATATACGTATGGATTTAATAACTTTTTATGCACATGTAGGTACGCCGTACACGGGAATTTCAATGCGCTCCTTTGTGGAACCTCAAACGGTCAAAGTTAATCGTCCATTGCGACCTTCTCAGACTTANATTACTTGGAAATGTCCTCGAACCGCAGTTGACACGGTACAGTTTGCGAAACTTTTTTATTTAATTTCCTATTGGCCCTCCAAAAATGATCCCCATGTTCAAAATTAATTTATTTACGTTATGCTTCTGTGTTTGGGTCACAGAAACAAGTTTGGAGCAAATTGATTGTGACACAGGACAGACAGACACACAAATAATCTTACATAATAAGGGTTCAGTTCTTTATTCGGACGTACAAAACCCTAAAAACACCGCAAGCTTATCTTGACGATTTTAAATTGATGAGAACAGATTAAATTTAACATTTGCATCTAACAACAAATAGCAGCTGTAAATAATGATTATGATTTAGTCGAGACAGTTTTTTAAAACGTATTTGAAAATATAATATATAAGCATAACCAAATTTAACAACCTACTACTACATCTTGTGTTTAGTACACTCAACTATGTGAGGTTTCTGTCTTAACCTACCGTTGAAGTCTCCATGCATATGGGGTCCGAATGCTAAGCTGTCAAGAAAAATCATGAACAAAAGATGCACACAAACGAGATGAAAATGTTACAGTGGGGAACAGGAGTGACGACGCTTGATGGAGTATGCAATGGGCACATTAGAAGGCTTCCTTAAAATTGGTCCTATTGTGGAAAAAATGGCGGAGCTTTGGTCATTTCAGATACGAAGAGGTGCGCCAACTACGTGGTGGTCAATCGTTATCAGAGATTTGGAAAGGACACAGCTGGAGACACAACAACCGAGAACAGAATGTCCTGGCGTCTAAGAATACGGATTTCTGACTCCAAGTGATGGGAGAAAGCAAGGAAGAAGAAGAGTAAATTGTTACATTGCTATTCACAAACACACCAGGCTGGGCACTGCGGGAATTGTACTGCGGGAGCGACACNTCATGTCCACATTATGTCCTGTCTGACTATCTAAATAACTGATTTTTTCATCAACAAAATTCAAAATTTGTTATTTAATAATAAACGGAATAATCCAGTTATGAATTAATTGTTAAATCAGTTACATTTAATAAATAAATAAGGAGTGTTTGTGAAAAATATCAAGCTTTCTGCCTGAGTGGTTAGTGTTGTGTTTTTATCGATACATCAAACTTTGAACTCCCTCTTTTACCCTATTAGGGGTTCAATTTTATAAAACCTTTTCTTAGAGTTCACTTATCGTGCACAAGAAATGTCTGTGTAAAGTTTCAAGTATCTAGACCCAAAGGGTTTCGGCTGTATGTTGATAATAATCATTTTATACACTTGTACATATATATACACGTATTTAAATTAATAAATTTTCATTATATTAATTTAAATTTTACTAGTATTGCATTATTTTATTTAAATTAAAACTATTTAGAAAATATTACAAACGGCACAGTGAACGCCATCTGTAGCACGATGCTACATTTTAGGATTACGTATTTTTCAACAAGGTCCACTTGTGTGGATATCTACTTGCTGAAAACGAATCCTTTAACAAAATGTCGTGTTTAGTATACACAAGTATGAGAGGTTTCTGTCTTAACTTACCGTTGAAGTCTCCTTGCATATCTGGCGTAAAACAGTTTGTTCTATCAAGAAACTTGCTGTAATGCTTCTATAAATTCTAAAGACTTACTTTTCTTGACTTGTTTTAATTAAATAAAAATGCCATTCACTTTTTTGATGTTTAATTTATTGCATAATATTTATTTAATTATTTCAAATTAAAATTTAATATGTGTAAGGGCACATGTATTTGATAATTACTAGAATCTAGTTTTAGATTACCAACTATCATTAAAAATGCTAATATTAAATCAAATTAAACATTTAAAACTTAATTTCACATCGGACATTAACTGGATAATCGCACACACCAATAGCCTGAAACAATGATAATAATTAAGGATTTAAAACACAAAGAGTTTATTTTTTAGCAGTACCTCATTAAAATATAGTCCTTCAGGACACTCGTATCTTGCTATAACTGCATTTAGAGAACATATAATGTATTTCCTACAATTCATCCTATCTCTAAACGCACCATTCAAACCAGGACATTCGGTTGATTGATAAGGAATATCTGAAACGTTGAAGAGTTTGATGTACAGGGTGTTTATCAAATGTCGAGCAAAACCTTAACAGATTGACGTTTCATAAACATCCTGTATATATTGAATATTTGATTAGGTAAATATTTATTTTTTACTAATTACTTGGAAATGTCCTCGAACCGCAGTTGACATTGCTGGGATAATCGCAAAATCCCTTAAGGGAAAAAAGTAATCCTTTTGGGCATTCTTCCTCTGTCACAATACCGTCCCAACAGTTGATGTACTTGTGACATTGCTCAGACGGAAATTGACCTCTTGGTTGGAAACACTTTAGTTGCAAATTGTTATTTTCTAAAAGAAAAAGGTACAAAACAAGAAAAGACACAAAAATTAAGAGACAGTAAAAGTTGTGCTTTTATTAATTTGTAATAATACTCTTCCAACAAACCAAATATTACACTTGTTGCACTTTAATAAAAGCTAGCAAAAGTTACAACATTTACTGCTTCTTCAATTCATTACGAAGTTTCACGAGTTAATTAAAATTACTTACGACCATATAACTCAGAGGTATTTTCCTTATTTGATACTGCGCCATGTAAATTTAAGGCATTTGATTGATAATTATTGTTATTTTCCTTTGGGGAATCCGTAGAAGGGTAGGCAAGGATAAAGTTTGGTAAAATATTGTTGATAATGTTGTTGTCATTGGATGGTGTTGGTACTTTCGGAAAATCTGTAAAGAAAAATGTTGTAGGGGTTCCATACGGTTTTATTTTTAGCTACTTGTTCCTCCCTCTCGCACTACATGATCTACCATGATTTTACCCTTAGACCCGCCTCTAAACAACGTGGTGTTTTTGATATTATTAATATGAAATTTTCATATTTGTTTTTTATTTTATTTTTTTAACGAAAACTATCTGAAACAGTAAGTCCTGTAAACTGTCTGTTACAGGAAATACGTCATCTACTGTTGCATGTAGGTAATAGACAATCGGATAAGAAGAACCCCCAAAAATTTTGATACAGGGCTCCTTTCGGGCAAGCTACGGTACTGGCTAGAACTCTCCTCTCTCTCATTTTCAAAGACACACGGTTTATCAACAACCCCTTGCAGAACATGGTACAATAATTTTATTTGATTCTCTTTTCTTCAAATGAATGACTCTATCAATAAATGAGTATCCCATTTACGACATAGCTGTCATAGTCGTCATGGTCTCATGGTCGACGTACCTTGTAATATCCTTCCTTGGCAGTTAACATTAGAAGGGTAATCACAAAATCCAGCAATATTGAAAAGTAGATTTTCCGGACACGTTTGTTCTTGTGCGAAACCGTCCCAACAATTTATGTATTTGTTGCAAATGCTTGTTGGAAATGCACCTCTAGCTCGTAAACAGCCACCTAAAAAACAATTTAATCATGGATTCAAATTAGAATTCAAATCTGATTGGTATAAGTATTTAAGGAAAAATATTGTTGTGGTGTTATGAGCGAATGCCGCAGGCGATCGATACCGACGTATCTGAAAGCAGGCAGCTGCTGGCCCTAAGTCATACAGCGGACAAGCAGTTTACGGAAAGGTCCACTAATAATCGGGAATATTCCGTGATCATATAAATAGGGCGAGACAGAGAAGTTCGCATAGTGGGATGCATTGTAATAAGGGTAGAATATGTTTGTCTCTGTTAACTGGTCTCACTAATATTACCATACATAAAAATAGGATATTTGGACGGAAAGATCGATTAAAACTAATGCCAATGTCTTCCCGAATAACGCCAAAATTAAAAAGACTAAACCGAAAGTAAATATCTTAAACTTAGAGCAAAGAAACTGGTGAAAAGTGGGACTATGACCATTCGATCCGAATACCAGTAGTAAAGGCTTTTGGTGTCGATACTCACCATTTAGTGGTAGGTGTTGTTCGTTTGGTCTCCCTTTAATTGGTATCACTGGTTTTTGTCCCTCGTTGAAGGCCATTGTAGAGCAAGGGTTTTTTTCAAAAATAGTTGGAATAGTAGGTTCGATATTACCCAAAATATTTTGATTCCATGGTCGAACAGAGTGCTGATCTTCTGTTTTGGGGGGATTTATAAATAAGGGGGGAATTCCCAAACCAACTCCTTGGGTTTGTCGATTGGGTTCGTCTGAATAATTAAAAAATGGGTTTTATCCTGAATAAAATGATAAAAATTTATAAACAAAGGTTGGTAGGTTCGATATTACCCAAAATATTTTGATTCCATGGTCGAACAGGGTTATGATCTTCTGGTTTTTGGGGATTTATAAATAAGGGGGGAATTCCCAAACCAACTCCTTGGTTTTGTGGATTGGTTTTGTTCGAATAATTAAAAAATGGGTTTTGTCCTGAATAACAAAAAAATACCAATTTATAAACAAAGGCTGGAGAGTTGATAGGACCTTAAAAGTTCTATCCATTGTTTTTTCATAATGTTTATACTTTATAGTTTCACAGTGCATTCATTTCGGCTTATTTCTAAATCATAAACATTAAAAAAAGACTGCAAAGCAAGTCAATTAAAAATGTTTAAACAAAGTACCTGCGTAATTTTAGTTTATCTAAATTTATTATGTTGGATATGTATGGGTATGTAAAGTCCGTGTAACATCGTCGAATTGAAATTAATTTAGTTTTATTAGTTACTCTTCTTTTTGTTGCATATTCGCAAATGAATTTTAATTCTTCAACTGATCATCCTATTGCCTACACGTAAACAGGTTTATACAAAGAAGAAAAGGTTAATTCTTGGAACAAGGTCAAAAAAATGCCTGATACTAATCGTAATCATAAATTAACTTGACATACGCGAAAGCAAAACGAAGCAAAATGTAATCCTTGAAATCCTCCTTTAGACCTGGCATTACGAACTTTCTTTGTTTTATGACATCCATGTAGTTATAAAAAGAATTCGAATCATTACAAATAAATTAAGGAGAATACTTGTTGGATTCAGAATTATTAGTCTATATGAATACGGAGTGTTTATAATTTTGGACAAAGCAATGATTTTTGTAGTGAATAGAAAGACAAGCACTATTCAGTAGACCGTATTCCCTTATACTTCGACATTTAGCTTCTGAAGTTTTAGTTTCTGGAACTTCAAACGGTAGAACCTAATGTTGGGCTAAAATTCACCAGATCGTCAACTCTGGTAGTTCCTACATGGGATCCCCATGCAATCAAAGTGATGCACTCATCAAAAACCGAGAAACCACAATCTAACAATATTAACATCATCTACTTAACTTAAGTCTACAATGCCTTCACATTTGACATATTTGCATAAGTTCTTCTAAATTAGTCTTGGATTGGAGAGTTAGGGGTTAGTCAGCGTTAAGCTTAAAATGCAGACCAACTAAGTTTATCGTTCAATAAATACATGCGTTAAAAGGAATGGCAACACAAGAAAATATGCCATCAAAGAAACGCGTAATTCCTTTGTAAAAATTTTGCCTTACCTATATACATATACATTTATTTATGTATAAAGGTATGTAATAATTGCTTGGCGGCTTCTATAGATGTCTAAAGTACCTGGCGTACTTATCTAATGGAGAACATCGAGCAAAATGTTTTTCAGTCTAGACTCTTTGCCAGTAGAATTCCTGGCATCTTACTTTATTCTTTACAAAGTATTATTCGCGTTGATATCCTAAATACGTATCAAAAATCATCAACGACCACATAAAACTAATTTTTTTACCCTATGTCCTTTTCTATATCCTGACAATCTGTGTACAAAATTTTATGATACGTAGCTTCGCACCTACAGAAGAAGATCGTAATCTGAAGATGGCATCAGGATTTTGTTCCCTTTTGTTGGGTCTTTCTGCCTCCACTGGGGTTTTAATGTGGAACCAGGAGATCAAAGAAAAAATTGTTCTGTGATTTCTACGAGGACGATATCTACCCAAACATAAAACTGCTCAAAATTCTGACAATAAAAGACACTAGCAAAGCTTGATAATTAACTCAAAAGCCAGTAAACCTTAGATATAAATAAAAACAAACAGTACCTTAATATTTAGCGAAGTTTTGGTTTTGTCGATTCTTTAGTACAATAATAACATTAACTTCTTGGGGATCGTTCATAAAACTTATTGTTTTATTTTACCCTTGGCACCCCTTCTACCATATGGTCTGTTATGCTTTACATTTGAACCCACCCCTCCAAAATGACATTGGTTTTTAATATTTTTGAAATGCAATTCTCACAGCAATTTTCTTTTAATTTTATTTTTTAAGAANCTGATAGATAAATTAATTGTAATCAATAAAAAAATCAAAATTCATCTTGTTTATATGAGCCAATTAGGAAAATCCATTAATACTAGACCTAAAGAACATATTTGTATAAACACTAGCCTTTGCTGGCGATTTCACCCTCGTGATACAATTTGATTATATGGCAAACCCCTATGCTGATTCTCTAGGGCTTTAATTTTGAAAAAAAAAATTATTAGTGAGCACCTACGTTGTATGTGGAAAAATTTTGAGTTTCTAGGCCTGAAGATTAACATTGATTAAGATTATTAAAAAATTCCAGTCATATTTAAAGGTGAAAAAAATATAAAGACATTGAACCGTTAACGAATATCCAGAAAGAGGGTTGAAATTTGGAAATATATTTTATAGTGTATAGTGTGTGAAAGCGATTAGAATATGCAGTAATATTTAAATTTTAACCCTCCTTTAACCGTTTTAACTTTTTTCAAGTGGATAAGGATAAGGACTCTGCAAAATTTTAAGCTTTCTGCCTGAGTGGTGGTTTTGTGCTTTTATCGATACATCAAATTTTAAAATCCTTTTTCTACCCTATTAGGGGTTCAATTTTATAAAACCTTTTCTTAGAGGTCATATACCGTGCATAAGAAATGTCTGTGTAAAGTTTCAAGTATCTAGACCCAAAGGGTTTCNTTTGAACGTTTTAGTCGAGAAATACTTTATGTAAAGCATGAAAAGGTGGCAACCCTAGTCAAGATATGTGAGATTGGCTCAAGATAGGGAGACATGAAATAGCGCCTTCGGCTGATGCTGATGATGATTATCATTAAAAACCATATGTAACAGTAAATGTTGGTGCTAGTTATTCCTGTAAACTGACTTTTATAGGATTCTCAAGTTTTTGTCCATTTTTGATCTCGAAACTACAAAGTTCGTTGATCTCCTGGGACTACATGTGGGCAAAACTGAAGTTACTTTTTATTGTTTCTATTTTCAAGAAATTTGTGGTCATTGTGCAGCAGTATATCGTGCTAAGCAAAACTACCTAACAACACAGCCGTAGGCGATGGTGTATATAAAAGGTAAAGTGTAATTGTCTCGACTGAAAATCTCGCTTGAAGTCTACCTACGGTAGTTTATTTTTTATGGTACCTTGTAATGGTTCATAACATTATCCCTAATACGGTCTGTTCTAACGATAAGTATAAAATTTCCAGTATAGGGATGTTTTACATTACAGAAAGTACTTTAATAAATGCATATTAAATTATTTATTTCTTGTTATACATGTACACAGTAGTGGCGACTTGAGGACCGAATGTTTGCATATTATCAAAGGGTTACATCATCTTTCGAAAAAACTTTGTACAAATATCTTCAGTCATCTTAGTATTATATATAAAAGAATGTATGAGTGCTGTCGCCAGAAGGCTAGGTAGTATTACGTAGTTAGTATCAGCAATTTCTTATGCTGAAGTGTACGATGTGTTGCATACCTTTTTACAAACAATTCCTTTAAATTTAATTTTTCAAACAATTTTTAACACAAATTGTTCACAAAAGTGAATTTCAACCATTCGAAGCAATGGTGATAACAGTTTCGAGCTCACGATAACTGATAAAGGGGAAGAACTAGTATAATAAAGTAATATAAGTCAAATAAATGCAATTTAAAGCTTTTGAAACATGCCATGCTTTGTTCAAACGATTTTGAGGGTTTGTTTGGTTTAAGATAATTTTCAAAGAGATAGAGACATTTTTTCAGATAGAAGTGGTTGATAAAATATATTGTACACGTCCACATGGGTAATTTCTATGCTCGATGGACTTTTTGGCCTTATCTGTATACGTAGATGGTTAAACATGAAATACAGTAATAGAAAAATAGTAACTTTTTAACAGAAAACAAAAAACAATAAACAAAAAATTAACAAACTGAATAAAAGTAGCGTGTAACAAATAAAGTTCAATAATTGTGACGCTTTTTATATTGGACAAACTGGACGAACTCTTAAAAAACGAATAAATAAACATGAAAAATCTATAAAGAGGATAAAAAATGTACTGGTATGTTACATAGTCGATCATTGTATAATTTTCTGGATACATGTCTAGAATATCTACCAAAAATGTAAAACAACTTTATGTATAAAATTTTAATTTTTTGCATTCCCTTAGTCTATCAAGTAGAAACGTTAATGTCTCCATTAATTAATAATGCAAAACTGCCAACAAATAAATTTTAATATTGAGATGTACTAACTTTTAGTATCTCCTGTAAGTTTTTGTTTCGTACTTATTGTTTACTCTCTTGTAGACAAAAAGGTAGGTAGTTATTGGTCAAGTTACTTCTTTATGGTTTCATTTAAATTGGAAGAAGTATAGTCATTATAAATTTCGTTTGCAAAAAAGTCCTACGTAATGCTCTGGCAGATACAAGAATATATGTATAATTGTCTTTTTGTCTAATTATGGTGCGCATGTATTTAATAATTACTAGAATCTAGTTTTAGATTACCAACTATCATTAAAAATGCTAATATTAAATCAAATTAAACATTTAAAACTTAATTTCACATCGGACATTAACTGGATAATCGCACACACCAATAGCCTGAAACAATGATAATAATTAAGGATTTAAAACACAAAGAGTTTATTTTTTAGCAGTACCTCATTAAAATATAGTCCTTCAGGACACTCGTATCTTGCTATAACTGCATTTAGAGAACATATAATGTATTTCCTACAATTCATCCTATCTCTAAACGCACCATTCAAACCAGGACATTCGGTTGATTGATAAGGAATATCTGAAACGTTGAAGAGTTTGATGTACAGGGTGTTTATCAAATGTCGAGCAAAACCTTAACAGATTGACGTTTCATAAACATCCTGTATATATTGAATATTTGATTAGGTAAATATTTATTTTTTACTAATTACTTGGAAATGTCCTCGAACCGCAGTTGACATTGCTGGGATAATCGCAAAATCCCTTAAGGGAAAAAAGTAATCCTTTTGGGCATTCTTCCTCTGTCACAATACCGTCCCAACAGTTGATGTACTTGTGACATTGCTCAGACGGAAATTGACCTCTTGGTTGGAAACACTTTAGTTGCAAATTGTTATTTTCTAAAAGAAAAATGTACAAAACAAGAAAAGACACAAAAATTAAGAGACAGTAAAAGTTGTGCTTTTATTAATTTGTAATAATACTCTTCCAACAAACCAAATATTACACTTGTTGCACTTTAATAAAAGCTAGCAAAAGTTACAACATTTACTGCTTCTTTAATTCATTACGAAGTTTCACGAGTTAATTAAAATTACTTACGACCATATAACTCAGAGGTATTTTCCTTATTTGATACTGCGCCATGTAAATTTAAGGCATTTGATTGATAATTATTGTTATTTTCCTTTGGGGAATCCGTAGAAGGGTAGGCAAGGATAAAGTTTGGTAAAATATTGTTGATAATGTTGTTGTCATTGGATGGTGTTGTTACTTTCGGAAAATCTGTAAAGAAAAATGTTGTAGGGGTTCCATACGGTTTTATTTTTAGCTACTTGTTCCTCCCTCTCGCACTACATGATCTACCATGATTTTACCCTTAGACCCGCCTCTAAACAACGTGGTGTTTTTGATATTATTAATATGAAATTTTCATATTTGTTTTTTATTTTATTTTTTTAACGAAAACTATCTGAAACAGTAAGTCCTGTAAACTGTCTGTTACAGGAAATACGTCATCTACTGTTGCATGTAGGTAATAGACAATCGGATAAGAAGAACCCCCAAAAATTTTGATACAGGGCTCCTTTCGGGCAAGCTACGGTACTGGCTAGAACTCTCCTCTCTCTCATTTTCAAAGACACACGGTTTATCAACAACCCCTTGCAGAACATGGTACAATAATTTTATTTGATTCTCTTTTCTTCAAATGAATGACTCTATCAATAAATGAGTATCCCATTTACGACATAGCTGTCATAGTCGTCATGGTCTCATGGTCGACGTACCTTGTAATATCCTTCCTTGGCAGTTAACATTAGAAGGGTAATCACAAAATCCAGCAATATTGAAAAGTAGATTTTCCGGACACGTTTGTTCTTGTGCGAAACCGTCCCAACAATTTATGTATTTGTTGCAAATGCTTGTTGGAAATGCACCTCTAGCTCGTAAACAGCCACCTAAAAAACAATTTAATCATGGATTCAAATTAGAATTCAAATCTGATTGGTATAAGTATTTAAGGAAAAATATTGTTGTGGTGTTATGAGCGAATGCCGCAGGCGATCGATACCGACGTATCTGAAAGCAGGCAGCTGCTGGCCCTAAGTCATACAGCGGACAAGCAGTTTACGGAAAGGTCCACTAATAATCGGGAATATTCCGTGATCATATAAATAGGGCGAGACAGAGAAGTTCGCATAGTGGGATGCATTGTAATAAGGGTAGAATATGTTTGTCTCTGTTAACTGGTCTCACTAATATTACCATACATAAAAATAGGATATTTGGACGGAAAGATCGATTAAAACTAATGCCAATGTCTTCCCGAATAACGCCAAAATTAAAAAGACTAAACCGAAAGTAAATATCTTAAACTTAGAGCAAAGAAACTGGTGAAAAGTGGGACTATGACCATTCGATCCGAATACCAGTAGTAAAGGCTTTTGGTGTCGATACTCACCATTTAGTGGTAGGTGTTGTTCGTTTGGTCTCCCTTTAATTGGTATCACTGGTTTTTGTCCCTCGTTGAAGGCCATTGTAGAGCAAGGGTTTTTTTCAAAAATAGTTGGAATAGTAGGTTCGATATTACCCAAAATATTTTGATTCCATGGTCGAACAGAGTGCTGATCTTCTGTTTTGGGGGGATTTATAAATAAGGGGGGAATTCCCAAACCAACTCCTTGGGTTTGTCGATTGGGTTCGTCTGAATAATTAAAAAATGGGTTTTATCCTGAATAAAATGATAAAAATTTATAAACAAAGGTTGGTAGGTTCGATATTACCCAAAATATTTTGATTCCATGGTCGAACAGGGTTCTGATCTTCTGGTTTTTGGGGATTTATAAATAAGGGGGGAATTCCCAAACCAACTCCTTGGGTTTNAAATGTAATCTTACCACTGGAGAAAACTGATTGCACTGCACATTCGATTCGGACGAAAAAAGATATTATTACTATTGTTAAGAAAAACCCCATAATTTCATATGATGAATGAAAAAATTGTGGTAGATCAAGTTGTTTTGCAATTTTCAAAAACTAATGCAATGCCAGGGTCGCAAAAGGTTGCGGGTTCTTATACCAACCGCGAAACCCCCTCCGTCCTGGCTTTGTCCAGAAAATAAATTAAATAATATTTCTGTACATGTAAGAAGTACCCACATATGTATGTATGTATGTATGTACGGACTTTTAGAGATTCAGATGTGTTTATAAAATTAGCGTTTCAAGTAGATAGTGTTGCAAATCAAATTTTTTGCATTTTACACACATATGTCCCTTGTAGATTTTTTCTGATAGAAAATGGGAATTGATTTCTCCATTATTACAATCAAAAATAGTTTGTACGCTGTTTAATATCCTAATTTCTATTTTAATTAATAAAAAGAACAATTTTGTTGCGATTGCTGTAAAATGGGTTGCCTAACATTATTCATATCATTTTGGTTAAATTAAATGTTTATTTTTGTTGCTGCATGTTATGTTTATAATTAGCTTCTAATGCTTGGAGGAAATTGTATATAAAATATGTTTTCATTCCTTTTTCTTTTGCTGAAAAGTTCTTTTCATTTCATAAGAAATCAGATTTTTTCATAATTATCAAATTGTATCGCATTGTAGTCTGATTGGAATTTTTTAGGTATGGTCTATATAAAATAAAAAAAGTGAAGGATTAGAAAAAAAAAGATATTGAAACAATTTTTGTCCTGTAGGCATATCCCGTTAATCCAGCCTGGTTTACAATCAAAACGAGTTCTTTCCGATTGGTACCGAATATTATCGAATCGGTTTTTCCATTTCATTTTTCAATGTGTTGCGGAACGTGCGGCCATTTTGGAGTAAAGAAAGGGAGTGATCGTAATAAATTAGTTAGTGTTAATTCAGTTGTAAATTTTAAAAAAACTACCAAAATTAATTTATAGTGAAACATATGGCTTGTTTAAATACACTCAAACAAGAAATAAGGACATTAGAATCTATATTTCCGAAAAATCATGAACGATTTCAGATATTGTCCGCGAGTGTAGATGAAGTTAGTTGTAGGTTTATTGGTAAAAACGGCAAGAAATACGAAATTCATGCTAATATTACAGTAAGTATGAACTTACAGTTAATCGTTAAATCAAGGTCACAAATATATTACAGACAAATTTAAAGTTTTAAATTAACAAATGATAACAAAGGTTCTCCATGTTTATTTTTGACATTTAACATATGTAGGCAAACAGCTGACAGATGGGTCTAACATCCTGAATAGATAGACAAATATGTAAATAGAGCTTTACATAACCGTTTTAATTAATTACAGGAAACATACCCTTCTGTACCCCCGGTATGGTTCGCCGATTCTGAAGAAACAAGTATTACAAACGCAGTGCAAATTTTAAGCAACACACAAGGTATTGATAATCATATAATCCGACAAGTAGCAATACTTTTACAAGAACTATGCCGTTTGCACGCCGTCCCAGAGCCACCCGATATAGATAGATTAAGTATTCCTTGTGCACAAGTTACTAGTGAAAGGTAGGTAAAATTGATTTTTACAAAAAAATTTATATTAAATTATTTGTTACNTACTGGCATTATATTGTTATTAAAACTAGTTTGTTGCTTTAAATGTAACAATAGATGTTTATAATTGATGTTTTGTTAATTAGTCCAAAGTTTTCAAAATTAAAGAGAAATAATATTGATAATCAATACCAGTTAATTATGCATTCATGTATGGTAGCATGTTTCAAAAATTGAAAGCTGATGATTGCTTTTTAGATATTTATTTAAATTGAAAAAACTTGTGCATTTAACAAATTGTGTAAGAAAGTTTCTCTTTTTTGACCTTGACATTGATACTTTGTAACTGACATGGTACATACGTATATAAATAGAGATGCATTACTATTTCCATATTAACATTTTTATAATTAGTTAAATACTTTATTGAAGAAGTATAAAATTATGCAATTACTCACCAGTAGATATGTATATATATGTATGCAAATTTTTGAATGTATGTAAGTGGGTACATGCTTGTTCAAGTGGGTGTAATATAGTATCTATCTATAAGTATGTATTTATTTATTTATGATTAGGTAATATTTTATCAGTGGTAAACTTATACTACTTGAGGTCTGAGCCAACTTTGCATTTGAAGAGCTAAGTATTTTAAAGATAAATAGGCATTTGTTTTCTGCAAATTTTTTGATAAACAACTACTACTTTTTATGTTCCAGCATAACAAATGGTACTGAACAAATGGAAGATGAGGGGTTGGATAGTGATGAATATGGAGAAGTGGGAAGTGACGTAGATGGGGCCAATAGTGATGCAGATGAAGATTTGGCCATGGAAATGGAAGATAGTCGCAACAAAGCTGACGAAATGTGCGTGGAACATTTAGCAACTCTTGAGCGGTTAAGACAGAATCAGAGACAGGATTACTTGAAGGTAGGTTAAAAAGAAGTTGCCTAAAACTAATAAACCAAAAAATAAAAGAAATACCTTATTTACCATTAACATTGTTCGCAGTAGATACGTGCTTCGCCTACTTCGGTTGTGAGCGTAATCAACGCAAGACTCCTACTTTGCCTAAAATTGATTGAAATATTCATTATAGGGTTCAGTGTCTGGATCAGTCCAAGCAACCGATCGTCTCATGAAAGAATTGCGAGATATTTATCGGTCAGATTCGTTCAAGAACAAAATGTACCAAATTGAATTAGTGAACGATTCCATATACGAGTGGAACGTTCGTCTGATGGCTGTGGATCCGGACAGTCCTTTGAGTCACGACCTCGCACTCCTGAAGGAGAAGGAGGGCAAAGACGCTATCCTTCTTAACATGCTTTTTAAAGACACTTATCCTTTCGAACCTCCTTTCGTAAGGGTGGTCCATCCTATCATTTCAGGTGACGTATTATCCTTAATGGTCTTATGTTTTGAGAAAGATGGATTTTTGCATTGGTTGTTTTCACAGGGGGCTATGTGTTAGTGGGAGGGGCGATTTGCATGGAGCTCTTGACGAAGCAGGGTTGGTCGAGTGCATACACTGTTGAAGCAGTAATCATGCAAATTTCAGCGACACTGGTCAAGGGCAAAGCGAGAATCCAGTTCGGGGCACCGAAAGTCTGCTCGCAGGGACAATATAGTCTTGCACGTGCTCAACAAAGTTTCAAATCGCTCGTACAAATTCACGAAAAGAACGGTGAGTATTATACGTGCACTGCAAGTATATAGGATAATAGAATAAATGAGTTATTTCCAAGTCAAATAACTAATTGGTTTCTCACATGAAAGGACACTTGTTTTGTAATTGATAATTAAATGTAAATAGTGGGGCACCAAACAACAGATTTTATTATTGAAGGCCAAAGTCTAAGGACTTTAAATAGTTGTCCTTTGAGCATTAGCATTCTATTGCTTGCATTTAATTCATAATCAGTTATCAAAGACAATAATGTTTTTTGATCGACTTAGTACCATTTAACGTGGGATATAAGAAACCAATTTGACTTTGAATTCTTCCAATTATCCTATCCCTTTCTGTAGTATTTCTAATCGGGGTTTTAGGTTGTCGTCTTGATAAATAATTAACACGACAATATAAAACTTAAAATACTTTTGTATTAATTATCACTACTTATGGCCTTTTTGATGATAAGACTACATAAATAAATAACAAACAGATTAGGACGATATTAACAAAAATCTCACAGAATGATAACTCTTAATTTAAACGTGACAGAAAGCATAATATAATAGTTTTGGTCAAATTAAGTAAGAAAAAGGAACCAATTTTATATGAAAAACTATTAATAAATAAATTAAATTGCTTCCTATTCCAACAAGTTAAATTTTCTTTATAGTAGGTGACACATTAATTTTTTAATATCAATAGTGAATGAATTTTTCATGTTGTTCTTCTTATCTATATGAATATTAAGAAATGGTTTTTTAAATAGTAAAGGCAGTATTATCTATACGTGCTGTACATTTATTGTATTTATTCGTCTATGTTTACGTTATTTTGTGTACGAAAATTTTAGAAATACGTAAAGGTCGTTTCATGAAATTTATTTTTTTTTAAGGCGCAATTTGACCGTTGTACTGATAGTTACTTTGATAATGTTTTGATCAACTTTCAAGTTTAACACATTTTACTGTTGTACTCTTAACATGTAGAGAAAGAATTTAATTCGCCAAGGAATTTTATTTGAATAGTTAGTTTCTTATTTCTTGTTTCCTGTGAAGCAATATACGTAAATTTGAAAAATATACTCTTGCTTTCCTAGACTTCCACTATTATCACTTTCTTTTGCGATTCGTTGTTGATTCTTGTACGTTTCAAAATGGTCTATTCCTATTGTTCTGTTATTTCCTTCCATGGTGTTTATTTGTATTTCCTCAAATTTCTGTTATTCCTTCTGTACTCATATTTCTACATGAAACATTATAACATATATTCTAATTTTGGCCAAACTGTTGAATCACATCAAAGATTTATGATGTTTCGTTTTTCAATTATTTCATATATTTGCATTTCTGTTGTCGTTCATATTTCTGACTACGAATGTTCAGTTTTAAAATTTTAATGTTTGCAAACTCTGCAATAGTGATTAAATTATGTATCTAACATAAAAATAATATTGCGGTGTTTGTGTGTAATGTTGAAGTAAGTCCCTTTTTAAGCCCATGATTATTAATTTATTGAAGATGTTTACAATGGGAGTTAGAAAATTGTTAAGAGAAAACAATACACAATTTTTGAATTAAGAGATAAAGCTTCAATAGCAATATCAAACGACAGAAATTGTGCAGAGATTAAGATCTTCTTTTTATGTAGCTATGATAATATTTAGACACGTTTCGCTTTTATGTTTGTGTTTTGTTTTCAGGATGGTTTACACCACCCAAAGAAGACGGTTAAGAGGTTTAAGACTGTGCCAATAATTATTTGTTTCGAACTATAAGTATAATCATACATCTACCGATGTCTGTTTTCTTTCGTTACCCAACATCAGCAGCAAAAAAGTCGTCTATTAGTGCCTGCAAACGGGTCTTTTTTTCATTTCTATTGTCGTTAATATTTCTGACTACGAATGTTCAGTTTTTGCGCATTTGAAACGCAATTGTTTCATTTTTAATTTAATTTTTTTTCTGAATAACAATATAAAAAANAAACGGGTCTTTTTTTCATTTCTATTGTCGTTAATATTTCTGACTACGAATGTTCAGTTTTTGCGCATTTGAAACGCAATTGTTTCATTTTTAATTTAATTTTTTTTCTGAATAACAATATAAAAAAAGAAAGAAATAGAAAAAGTTCCTTTTTCTAATGACGTACTGTCACGTTGGTCGCAATCGCACTGTGTTATTGACTACATGTAAACGGAATAACTTGGCAGTATAAATATATTATATATACACATGGAACGGTCTACGTGTTTGTTTAATTTTATAATTTACCGCGACACTCGGTATAGAAGTCGCGTGTTTGTGCGCGTTGTGTGTACTGTCGACTATACGTGTGATAATACATAAGCGGATATTAAAGGCGCATGCGCGCGCCTGTAGTATCCTAGGGTCGATGGAGCGACATCTACATTGACTTCAACTCCAATTGGTCGTATCCTAAGTCCGCACACACAGAACGGAGTGAGAGAGCGAAAGAGAAAGAAAGAGAGAACGAAAATCGTGTCGTGTACCTATTCTTAATACTACACCGTTTTATGTTTTTTGTATCGTCGTTCGCCGGCTTGATTTAATTTTATTTTCTCATCATCCTATTTCTCTCCTATATTTAAGATGTACGATAAGCTGTCTTTATGTTCGTTTTCCTTTTAAGTTTAGAAGTTAATAAATATAAAGTCGGAGCGATGTGTTTTTATTGTCTACTCACATCCGAAAAGTTATCAGTGGCTTTATAATATTGTAGTTTAAGACTTATTTAAACTCCCGATTTTACTGCATTTTGCACCATACATTGCCTTTAAAGTGATTACAAGAAAGAAAAAATCATTAGTTAATTTATCTAAAAACTAGTTCTTCCCTTCTATCAGACACTGTGAGCTCGAAACTGTTAGCATCATTGCTTCGAGTGGTCGAAATTCACTTTTGTGAACAGTTTGTTTAATCACTTTCCTTGTGTTAAAAGTTTTTTGAAAAATTAAATTTAAAGGAATTGTTTCTAAATAGGTATGCAACACATCGTACATTTCAGCATAAATTGCTGATACTAACTACGTAATACTACTTGTTCAGTTTGAATTTTGAGGATAATAAGATTTTGTGTGTCTAGACTTTTGGAAATTGAGTTACACTTACACTAACATCGAAGTCCATCAAGACGACCTATTTATTTGAATCATTTATCATAAAATCAATTAATTTTACCTAGAAATGACCTTTAGTCGCCGCAATAAACTTTTTAGATGCTTTTGAATGGCAAATAATGGTATAAGCACACCATACAGGCTACCTCTATTATATTTCTTCTATAAACATTAAATTAAGAGACCAGCAAGGGTTTTAATTAGACCTGTATGAATACTCATGTGAAGTAGAGAAACTTTTTTTCTTTTTTTGAAAATAAAGCAACACGTGAATCCATTCAGGTTTTGTCCAATTTTTTTATGGTACTTGTTTTGTCCGAATCATTAAGGAACTAAATTAGAGTATTTGTATAATTCTATTTCAGTTTTTATAAGAGCTGCTGTATTGTAAAATAAAATTTTCAAATACAGCTCTGCTCTCTTCATTAGTTCGTTTTGGTCTTCACTCCATTATTCTTTTCAAAAACAAAATACTTTGAATTTTAAAAGTAAATGAATATTAAGTGCATTTTTCGTACGCATAAAATATTTTATGTTGTACTAATTAATAACAAATTTATTTAATACATCTCAGTCCCTTTTGTTTTGAATATCAACTTTTATTTATGTGTCTGGGTAATACGTAATTCTAATAATTTCATACAGATTTAAAAATGACGTCATTTGACGTTTTTAATTAACGTATTATATAAACAGTTTCTGATTTATTTATACAATTTTATTTCCTATATTTTTATTAAAATTATTTCAAAAATGGAACTATATCTGGGGATTTTTAGTTTTAGTGACAAACGTCTGTCAAAGTCATTTGATTGTTCGTGGACACACTGGAGTTTTTATGGAGTGTTAGTGTTGTGAAGCAAGTGAATTTTTCGCGAAGTTGAATATTTTTACATATCGTTCTCTTCCCCATCACCCTCGAAGTAGATGAAGGTAATTAATTATCCTTTTTATTTTGAGCAATTAATGAAGGTCATGCTTTTTGTCTTACGGTTCTCGAAATGTTGATATCTCCTTCTCTGTTGTCTCCAAGCGCTTTCTAATCAAAACAGTTTTGTTTTTTATGCATAAGCAAGTAATCATAAATTTATTCTATTTTATGTTTTGATGTAATAGGCACTGTTTAAATTATATTTGGAAAAAGACTGACGATTTTTAATGGCATTTGCTCGCGTTTGTTTGCATATTGCTAGAGTTTGTTGAACCCGTATTTTGATGAAAATAAAAATGAAAATTGTAATATCCATTGAAAAATCTCGTTTTGACCCATTTTCCAATTAAGTTGTTGACGGTTAAGAAGGCCCTGCAAAGTTTTCAAAAAATTTTGACAAAATTTTAGTGACTTTGCCTAATGCCTAACTAGTAGAAATGAATTGGTCACTAAATTCCAGTGAAAAGAACAAATACTTGAGGAAAATGTAATTTTCAGGATATATTATGCCTCGAAATCATAAAGAAAACAATAAAAACGAAAACAATGGTCTCAACAGAAACCGCAATCACTCAGTTTCACCTGAGGAGCCAACAATTGGAAAGAAGCCCCAGTGGACTGAGTTGGAGATAACAGGCACCATCAGAAATTTGAGCCCTAATCTATTTCATTTACAAAACTTAACTGCTTTATACGTAAAAAATAACAATCTCCAAAGGCTGCCACCTGATATAAATCAGCTTGTTAACTTGCGAGCCCTTGACTTATCTTGTAACAAGCTGCGGTCACTGCCAGCTGAACTTGGAGATCTCATGAACCTCAGGTGAGTTTTTGTTTTCAGTTGTATGATTAATTGTTTGTCTATGATACTTCTCTGTTAATTTATAATCCCTACATTAATTTTCATTAACTTTCCAATTATTATTTTTGATTCATTTTAACTTGAATAAATGTTACTAGATTATTATAAAGAACTTGAGACTAAGGTGTGAATGTGTGATACATTACATATGGAGGTGATAATGTTGATAAAAATAGTGTTACTGGGTGGTACATGACAACAGTTCTTTATATACTCATTTATGGTTGTTATTATTACTTGATTTTGATTGCCTGATAACTAATTGCCCAATTATTTTTCACTAATTAAAAATGTCTTTTGTTTATTTTGAATGCTTAGAGTTATTAATGATTAAACATTTTTTGGAAGTGCTGCCTTTTATTGTTAGATATTTATGAAAAAATGTGGGTTTTGTAATTCCTTTGTTATTGTGGAATTTTGTTGTAAGAATCTTTTTCATTGACTACAAAACATTCCA